TGATCTTCTAACATCTACCAGTAGTTGTCTTTGCGATTGCACAGGTCTATCTTCCGCTGCTGGTATAACTTCGACGGCTCAAACCGGCATAGATCAAAATGTAATGTTATTAAGTTTGGTACAAGATATGATTGTTGAAAAGAAAGAAACTTCTGCTTACATGCGTAAGCATATATGCGCCGATGATAGAAGGCAGTCTGCAAAGGCAATAGGTTCCATTGGAATTGCGATTCTTTTGATTGTATTTGGTATCATTATTGCTTTTGACATCCCACACTTGTATAAAATATTGCGGCCAATGTTACGTTGCTTTTGATGGTATTTAATGCAGTAATTATATTTGACATCCGACACTTGTCTAGAATATTGTGCACCTTATCAAATTGCTTTTCCTTTAGCAAATATGTCGCTCATTCACGGTTTGTTGTGTGGAAAAGTTTCCAGAGCAAGATTAATGCTTTTTAGCAAATATATTTATCATGCATGGTTTGCTTTGTGGAAATGGTTCCGGAGCATGATGAATGCTTTTATCAAATATATCAATCATGCACGGTTTGATGTGTGGAAGAAAGTTTCTGGAGCTCGATGGCTGGTCTTAAACTTAACGATTCTAATTCTTTTCTGAATGCTTTGGCAAATTTGTGTGAACAACATAACCGTATATCATCGTTGTTCGTACATGATGAATCACAAAATGCTGTTAGAGTACGTCATAGATTATAAGATGGGACACTTCAAATAAGTTGAAGATAAAATCATGCTTGCCATGGGAGGAAACAGTCTCTTAGACTAGTCATGTCGTTTACTTTAGGAGCAACCATTCTCTGAGATGATGACCGTAGTTAGGGAGCAACAAGTCTCTGAGATAATAATCATACTTTGGAAGCAACCAGTCTCTGAGATATTTACCGTACTTTGGGAGCAACCAGTCTCTGAGATCATGACCGTACTTTGGGAGCAACCAGTCTCTGAGATCATGACCGTACTTTGGGAGCAACCAGTCTTTGAGATAATGACCGTACTTGGAGAACAACCAGCCTCTGAGATCATGACCGTACTTTGGAAGCAACCGGTCTCTGAGATAATGACCATACTTTGGGAGCAACAAGTCTTTGAGATATTGTCTTTTCGCGAAAGGCCGTTCGTCGAAGAAAACTTATTGAGTAGATTGACATCAATACTTTCTAGAGCGTGTGAAGTCTTTGAATACAAAATGAAAAAAAGCTTGTTGTACAAATTTCCCTTTAATCTGCAGCAGTATTTAACGAATATCCAGACGATCAGCTCTACCCATCCAATGCCAGCCTTGTAATACACTGGTTATTTAGTAAGTGGAACAAATGTATACAAAACTGAATACGGAAATAAACTATTCACTCCTAGCCTTTTCTTCCCAACAAAATACCAAATAAACAACAAGACAAAAAAATCATTTATCGTGATTGGAAACTTTATAACACATATACCCGTGAAGCAGCCTACATGTACCAGAATCATCTGTTCTGAGAAATGATACAGAATGGTTATATGATGATGCGAACATTATATCGGAAATACAATCGATAAAACGCGCGTGGGGTCTTGTAGAGGCAAGCAGGTCCTAAGATGTGTGTGTGTGTGTGAGAGAGATATTAATTGAAAAATTTGTGTTGGATAGTTATGCAAATGTATGTGTTGGACAGTTATAAAAAAAGTATGAGTCGGATAATAATCAAGAAGTATGTCTTGGATAGTAAGTCAAGACTTGGGCGTTGGAGAGCTTGTACTTGCTGATGACGTAGTACATATTCTTTTAATAATAGAGAAATTACTAAATACCTGTAAAATATTACTTGAATACAACTCTTATAAGAACATGGATATTTTTGAAAGTATGTTGATATTGTAACGAAGAAACCTCATGGACTTCAATTTTTCGTTTCGCTATTTAATATTTCGTTTCGTTCAAGTTTATGTTGCAATTTCAAACGTTTATATACACCCAAGAATCCAGGAATAAGACGGTATCTGTCACACTCTGGACAGCCAGTCCTAAGATAGATTAAGCGGGGTATCACTCCTAGTAAAAGACCTATCCTAAGAAACCCAAGATAGCCTAGGGAGTGTCCGCTACAGTATCATTGTGTAGAGTCCTCAACCTCCAAGGAACAACCTAGCCATCTGGTTATTTATGGCAACAATCATCTATGTCAGCAATAAGCTTATGGCGCCATTACGAGATAATTCCGTGGTCAACGGAACTAGTTATTGATTAGAATGCGTTGATATGATTGTGTAAACATGATGACGCTATGCGCGTCCGGGGAATATTTCTAGGACAGGGTGGGTGGGTGATAAAGCTTTTTTTTGAGGTGGCTGGGTGTAGTCGGCAGAGCCTAAATCAGTGGTTTCAGGCTAATACAGCACAACGGATTTTTAACAATTCCGGGGGTTAACAGCTGCCTACCTCAATGGATTTTTTGTGTGGCCACAATATAACAACATAGTGAAATCTTTTGATATTCTACATTATCACGTCAACTTAAAGCATGTTGGTAACTCAGATTGTTGTTGTTAAAAATATTGCCTTTATCACTTGAACATCCATAATTAGCAATTTCAATGTTTCAAAATATTTTAGTTACATGTTTTTTATTCAATACAAAATGAAATACTGTTATGTCACGTTATTTTTCAATACAAAATAATCTACATATATATTATGTTTTTTTCAAGACAAAATATTCTACTGATATGTAATGTTTTTTCAATACACAATACTCTATTGATAGTACAGTTCAGTACAAATTACTCTGTTTTTTTTAATACATATGGTACAGTTCATTACGGATTACTCTGCTGATGTATTATTTTTCAATACTTATAGTACAGTTCATTATGGATTACTCTATTGATGTGTTATTTTCAAAACGAAAGTTAGTCATGTATACCAAGGTTATGGCCGTTTCACATTCGGAGATAGAATTTTGCAGGCTCTTAACGCCTGTGCAGTCTTTTCGACGGTAATATAAATGTTGTTATAAAAATGTGTTAAAATATTTATTATTATTATTATTATTATTATTATTACTATTATTATTATTATTATTATTATTATTATTATTATTATTATTATTATTATTATTATTATTATTATTATTATTAAAAACTAAACTGTTTTGTATGATAGTCAAACCTAGCTTACATCATCGGTAAATTGCTGCATGTTTTAAGCGCTGTGACATAGATCGACTTGCAAGTTGAGTTTGGTACTAACCGATAACTAAATGGCTAAAAACTTCGATAAATTTAATGGATTCTGTTGACCAAATATAACGTGTAAAGTGGATCAATATACCAGGAGAGTCGATACAATACATACATTATTACCATCTCATTTTAATATAACAAGCAAACGTAATTCAATATATCTTTAATAAAGCATAGCAATAAACACACCTGTTCATGGACTCTCTGTATTTAAAATTATTGAAACAAATTGACGTTTTCTAATGTAGCAATCAAATGGTCAGAGGGTTGAATGGTTTTCCAGCAAAGAGGCCGAAGTAGAACGGAAGTCTAAAATACAAATAACTTTATTCATGCTTGTTTTTTTTTTTTTTTTAAATCAATATGTACCTTGCATACATTTATTGGAAACTGGATTGTGGTAACTTTGAAGTGGATATGTTTCTAATTATGTACTTTTAAAATACTAAAATAAATGATACTAGGTGCTTCAGTGTTATACTACTACTACTACTACTACTACTACTACTAGTAGTAGTAATAATATGAAATAGGCAAAGTATGTCAAGCACAGTCGATAACTTGTGACGTCACTATCTGGTATTGAGCATAAAACTACGGAGCGAAAGGAAAATCTGCTAAAATACTCAGTATATAACTTCATATTTTGTCGAGTATAATCTTTTGTACGTTAATGCTAGATAACAAGTTCCGCCGTATTAATTGCTGTGGTAACGAGTAGAGATCGAAATCTGTCTATTTCATTGAAGATCATTGCCCTTTTTGCAACGTTCATCTCTGTTTTGATTTCTTGAAAAACTTCTGGTTGGAGAAAATTTGTACAATCATACACGGTTTAAAATATACGCATTACGCTCTCTAGTAATGGGACTACCCACTCCTAATATCATCATTTGCTGAAAGGGATATATTTAGCATTACATTAATCGTAGTTGTTGTCCTCATAACATCTGTACACACTTTAACAAATATAGAATGGCTGCAACCTCATAATCTGTATAAAAAAATTCAGGAAATCATCTGCTAACGTCTGCATAAATAATAAGAGCGATATATATATATATATATATATATATATATATATATATATATATATATATATATATATATATATATTAGGACTGGATGTTTGAGCAAAAGTATTAAGATTTTTTTTGGTTCTAAATTGTATTCAATGTCAGTTTTAATTAAATGATATTAAAAGTCATTTTTCACTAAAATATATTGAGATTAATTTTATTTATTTTTATACAACTGTTATACTATTTTAATAAAGTTTGCGCTTTTACAAGCAAGTGCAAGACTCAGTTGTACTATGAAAGACACTTCTTATGCATGCAAAAGTTAGCAAATTTTAAATTCACCCGTAGAGTTGCCGAACAGACAAATACATAAAATTCCATTGGTTGAGTAAGCTAGAAAATTTATCCGTGTCTTGAAAGGAATAACCCGATGCAGCAGAATTCTCTACAAGGACGCAGAAATGATGTGAGCCTCATTCTGATTGGAAATAAATGAACCAATCTCGAGCCAAAGCCTCACTATCATGTCTGTCCTTGTGGTGATGAAATGTACTAAAGATGTCATTCTATGGAATAGATCAAATATTTTCCAGTACAGCGACGAGTGAAAATTTATTTATCTCGTCGTATGTACTATCTGAAGCCTTCAGAATGTCGGAGGAACCGAAAAGCTACAGAAAAGGAACAATCTTCAGTGATCTGATTGGATAACACATGAACTGGACAACCGCTCCTGTGGCTTAATGGTTGGAGCGTCCGCCTCGGATGCCGGAGGTCATGGGTTCTATCCCCGGTTGAGTCATAATGTAACTGGGTGGGACATCATGCTACATGTCTGCGACATGATGTCCCAGTGCTATACATTACTATAAACTGCCACACTGCAGACATCGTAGCGATATGACTGAAAAATTGTTAAAGCTACATAAATTTTTTTATCACATCACATCACATAAACTGGACATGTTTTTAGTGATATATTACTAACTGCGATTGCTCACTCAAACTAAGTTCCGAAACCAGGAAAGAAAAGGAATCTAAATCGATAATCGGCTTTACAACGCTGAAATTAAGTGGTTTAAACGAAGAAGACTCCAAAATGGAAACTACACGCAAATGAAATCATCGTCTGTTCAGACCCCCCCTTTTTCAATTAAATAATTCAATTTGCCCATTGCTCATTAACTAACCCTAAATGTTACTGTTTGTTATTGTCTTGCTGTTTTTTTGTGTATTTCTTTCTGTATTGTTATTGATATGGTCAATACTGTCATATAACCAATTAATTATCTTGGACATAGATAAGGTTATACCACTCACAAATTATCTTGAACATAGATAAGGTTATACCACTCACAAATTATTTTGGACATAGATAAGGTTATACCACTCACAAATTATCTTGGACATAGATAAGGTTATACCACTCACAAATTATTTTGGACATAGATAAGGTTATACCACTCACAAATTATCTTTGACATAGATAAGGCTATACCACTCACAAATTATCTTGGACATATATAAGGTTATACCACTCACAAATTATCTTGGAAATAGATAAGGTTATACCAATACAAATTATCTTGGACATAGATAAGGTTATACCACTCACAAATTATCTTGGACATAGATAAGGTTATACCACTCACAAATTATCTTGGACATAGATAAAGTTATACCACTCACAAATTATCTTGGACATAGAGAAGGTTATACCACTCACAAAAACAAAACTGATAGAGCTATTATTCTCCTTTTGTAGGTCAAGGTTAACTAGCTTAGGGAGCGCTTTACAGATATAATGTATTTCTGAGAGAAGTGACAGAGGTGTAAGGTGCAGTTTGCATTTGCAACACGCACAGTTGTGTGTGTGTGTGTGTGTGTGTGTGTGTGTGTGTGTGAGAGAGAGAGAGAGAGAGAGCTTTAACAATTTTTCAGTCATATCTCTACCATGTCTGCATATTTATAGTGATGTCTAGAAATGGGGCATCATGCTGTAGAGATGCCCCACCCAGTCAAATTCTGAAATCAGGTTGACTAGTTCTAACACTAACGTCTAATGCTGAGCGCCAAGCTCAGTACCATTTTGTTAGAACCATTTTTAGAAAGGTTTCGGTATACTCAATAACCAAGATTACATCGATCAATCATATACCAAAATAAAGGGCTTTAAAATTCAGAAAGAACTTAATACAAATGGCGTCCTATACATACATACATATATATATATATATATATATATATATATATATATATATATATATATATATATATATATATATATATATATATATATATATCACCGTTTCGGTGGCATAATGGTTAGAGCGTCCGTCTCAGATGCGGAGGAGGTCGTGGGTTCGATCTCCGGTCGAGTCAAAGACAAAAAGGTATTAACAGCTGCCTCGCTTGACGCTCAGCATTAAGAAGTTTGTGCTATGACTGGTCGTCCTGGTCTCAGGATAATGTGTCTGGGTGGGACATCATGCTTCATGTCTGCGACATGACGCCCCAGTGCTAGACATCACTATAAACTGCCACACTGCAGACATCGTAGCGATATAACTAAAAAACTGTTAAAGCTACGTTAAAAATCATAATCAAATCACATCACATCACATCACATCATCATCATCATCATCATCATCATCATCATCATCATCATCATCATCATCATCATCATCTCTCTCTCTCACTCTCTCTCTCTCTCTCTCTCTCTCTCTCTCTCTCTCTCTCTCTCTCTCTCTCTCTCTCTCTCTCAAAACATGCGTCTTTAATTTTGGGGAAAAAAATGAAAAAAACATCGGTGATAATAGATTATTCTTCCAGCCTAGATCAAATGTACCAATGTATAAAGACCGAGTATAAGTTGTAAACCGAGTATACCAATGTATGTGTGTCATACCAAAATAAAAGGCTTTAAAATTCAGAAAGAACAGAATACAAATGGCGTCCTACATCTCTCTCACACACACGCACGCACGCACGAACCCATCCATCCATCCATCCATCCATCCATCCATCCATCCATCCATACATACATACATACATACATACATACATACATACATACATACATACATACATACATACATACATACATACATACATACATACATACATACATACATACATACATATGCACAAGAGAGAGAGAGAGAGAGAGAGAGAGAGAGAGAGAGAGAGAGAGAGAGAGAGAGAGAGAGAGAGAGAGAGAGAGAGAGAGAGAGAGATGCGAAATTATCAATTTACCGCGGTATTTATCTTAGATGGAATGCATCACGATCCTGTTCTTTATCAGTGTACTTGATCGGTATGGAAATCCCCTGGTAATATTGATACCAGTTTAATGATATAATAACCAAAAACCATGTTTCCATTTTCATTACAAAATAATTCTAAAACTTATTACTGCATTTTTTTGCCAAATAGTTGCATTTTTTAAAAATAATTTAAAATATTACAAATATTACTATACTTATGAACCTAATCGCATTTGACATGTATGGAATATGCCAACACTGCTGCGATTACGATGTCGTGACAGTTATTGGGACCAAATCAAACTTTTGAAGAAAATAAATGTGTTATGTGCATGTATTCCTTTAACAGACCGAATCCTCAGGGGATTTTCAGGAGAACAGTTGTTTTCTATCTTAAATTTACTTAATGTTTTTATTTCACAAAATATTTTCTTGTTGTTGAGTCAATGTAGGGTCTTCACAAGGTCGTTTGGATAGTATGTATGGGCTGTTGGATAGGAGAAGTGATGTTGTTTTTAGTATATTTGTGAAATTTAAACACCACTCATTTCTTCTGATAGTTTGTGCTAAATTTAGATACTCTACAAGGCGTTTTGGATAATGTATATGGGGTGTTTGTTGGATGGTAGAGGCGATGTGCTTGATATTATTTGTGCAATTTCATCCTCTTCGTTTTAACCTTAAAATACATCTCCCATGAAAGATTAAAAAGACCACATCTTATATTTGCGTCTGAAATTTTAAATTCAAAAAGGCGTCCATAAAAATGACATAACATAAACAATTTTACCCTTTTATTTGCACACTGAAAACTGAAACTGCTTGATTTTTCCGGCATAAAATTCTTACCTTTGAAGGAAACATTCCACTTACCTTCACTTCAAATAGTGGCAAAGGCTCCACACTAGTTTTACTGATCTGACTAATAATTGGTACTGTTCAATTCCTCTACAGCCAAGCGCCTGCCGTAACGGTTTCACCATAGAACTCGAAACAAATGGAGTGATGTGTCATATTTTCATAGTAAGAAACGTAGACGAAGAGATTTTTCAGTCTTATGGCCTAAATAAAAGATAAAGCTTAGGAAATATATTTCATAACAACGCATGCGGTATGAATGATTGCTTCATTACGATGTTGTCGGTTACCTTGTAGGAATACATGTGAAGATGTTAATGTGTATTACCTTGAAAATATAAATAATATTATTAGCATGTAGTACCTTAAGGCATGAATGAGTTATGGACGCAAAAATTTGTGGATGTACATAGGACCCTGCAAAGTTGGTTGCCCATTCATTTGACAGTAGGTCTGAGAGAGTGATGACTTCAAGAAAGATATGGTAGGGATTCAGGAAAATGTCCTTGTTGTATTCCTTCTGAAGCTTCAAGGGTGTACGCACAAAGCGGCATACCAATAGAAGAAGATGGAAAAAGGAGTCAAAAGCAGAGAGAGAGAGAGAGAGAGAGAGAGAGAGAGAGAGAGAGAGAGAGAGAGAGAGAGAGAGAGAGAGAGAGAGAGAGAGAGAGAGAGAGATCATTGTTGCTGTTGATATCTATATAGGGATACGTAGTGGCGATTCCACCTAAAGTATCATACAGTTCAGGACTAAATATAATGGCTAAAGTATTTTCGTGCGAAAAATACATGTCCATAAGGTGATACATTTTTATCTTACTCGATCAAAATAAGTGTTATGTTTGACCAATGATTTGGAAGCAGTTTTTTCCATTACATGTTGAAACAATACCTCGAAGAAATTCTCATGGCATTCTCATGGTGTAGATAGTCAATCGAGGATTATGATTGTCTTTTGAATTCGTACACCATGGCATTATTTTTGTCAACCTGTTCTTAATCATTCAGTATGCTGACCACAAAATTGTTTTGATTTTCGGTGATGTTTAGAATTGGATTTGGCGAGTGGGTAAACGCACGTTCCTGTCAATGTGTGTTCTTATTGAGAGTGATGACGATGTTAGTTTTGGTATTATGTTTCGGTACAGGTACGGAACAAAGAAAACATCGGTTTTTCTTGGCAAAGTTAAGGTAAGACGGAATGGTACCATTCGACTGGAGAAAAGACTGCATTTAATCAAACCTTCATATTATGGAATGGTTTTCGAGTTGATGTCTTTCAACAATTGTGGGTTTCCTGTTGGAAAGTAATAATATTTGCACTCCGACCAAGGATACAGAGAACACACGTCCAGATATTTGAGTTCTTCTTATTTATCCTCTTCTACGTGATGCACTATGCATGTGGCATTTTGCGTCCCCCAAATAAACTGTCCCTGGGGTCTAGAGGGACCATCAGGTTGTTAATTTTCACAACGGTCTTAAACACGGGATGGGTTTTCAAACGGTGGTTGTACTCGTGTTCCCACATTTCAGTGACTTAGTATCATTGTTGTTCTAACTTCAAGCGATGTTGACAAATTTACTTGTACAAGTCTTAAATGGAACGCGTTGAGAACGGCACGCTTTGAGAATTAATTTTTCATATTAGGTTGAGAGCAACATGTAAGGCACCAGTGAAATAAGCATCCATTAAACTCGTACACGATCTTAGGGTTTTCTAAATCCCAGCCATTCACCAAATATGTTCCAATTTTTTTTTTCGCTTCCTTCGTTTCTTTCATCTTGGATCCATTTGACTTCGCTCAAGTAATGTAGCCTGCGCAGAGCTTTGACCAAGTGTCGATGTTCCATAAATTCCTTAGTATGAGTCCCATGACTGCTAGAGTTGTCTCGGGCATGAATTACTTGCAGTAAAAAAAGAAGCATGCTTTGGTTATGGTAGAGGCTTCCTTTAAATCATAAATCCCTCAATTCTCCATAAAAAATTTGATTGTCTACGGTCCTAAAATGATGTGAAAATATCATTTGGCCATTTATGTCAATCCAAATGTTCTATGCATTCGACTCAAAGGCATGGCTAAATAACTCACGGAATCTTTAAAGTGTATTTGTTCCACTTGCATGGAGATGACTTTAGCTCAGTTCATTGTGACTTTAGGGCACTTGGTGCCTTATTCTGTATAGTATTTCAGAAATTGTACATCGTATCCCGAGAAGTTGACCATAGCAAACCAATGGCAATCTCCGTAACGTTCAATGTCTTTTTAACTTGACGTGCCATCAAAGGGTCCAACATCATTTGGTCGAAATCGGAAAGGAGTGTTAGGTCCTTGGAGAGATTTTGTTCACGTCTTCCTAGAATTTTGCTACAGTGAAGGCAATGATAAAAGATAGGTTCTTGGATGCACTTTTCCCACCTTCGATAAGCCACTCATAAATTAGAAACGTGAATGCCAGTTTCATGCATACATTCGAAATGGAAAAAAATGAAATTCCCTTTCTTCATGTCATCCTCCTTCTCCACCTATTTATATTGGTATTTTTAGATGTAACATTCATGCTACATTATGTTTCACTTCCACGATTAGGTAAAAATGTGATATCGTGTCATTCTTGGACAGGCATTATTAGTGTGTATGAGATGTCCACGAGTAGAGCACATCAGGAGTTGGCAAGCACTTTTCTACTGTGAACCTTTTGTCGTGAGATATTGTTAGTAACATATACAAAAGTTCGTTGACACACCGAACATTGAATTCGTTTAGAGGCTAAACAACCTTGACATTTCTGTCCACTGTGAATGTGGTACTCTCAATGGGCATGCCCAATAGTCAAATTTATCACTGTAGTATTGGAATCTGGTGAGACTGGTAATAACATCAAAATTTTCTTTGTGATAAAAGACGTGATTGTATTTCTGCTTGGGAAATCTTTGCCACGAAACACCCGAAACAGACTGACCTGTTGAGGATGCACTTTCAACATGAGGCGTGGACATTTAAGGAATGTCAAAGGTTGTTTCTTTGGATAGGCTGGCTTGCTGTAAAAGGGTTCTACTTCTCTTCGTTGTTTGGCTTGGTCCGATTTTCGTATGAAACATATTTTATTGATTTGGTGCGTATATAGTGGATATACAATTAAAATACATGCACCACGTATTCTATTTTTCATTCTGTGCCAGTTCTGAAAGAGCCGTTGAGTAGAAATAGTTACTTATTTATAACATTTGCTCAATGGATTAGCAGTGGAAAACTG